CGCCGGGCCCAGAAGGGCGCCCCTTAGGCTGCCGTTCGGCGCCCGACCTGTTTCCAGGCCAGACAGCGCGAGGAGAGCCCCTCGCGCGGCGCCCGGGGACGGCGCCGCCTCCCTCCTTCCCCCCGGAGAGCGGCCGCGGCTCCAGCGTCTTCCTGCCTGCCTGCCTGAGGGGCTGGGGCTCGGGGAAACCCCGCGGATACGCCCCGCCGCCCTTTTCCTCCCTCGCCTTTGATGGAGGAGGGAAAGGGAAGAAGTTCACACGTGCCAGCATCCAGGCTTCCCCTCCGTCGCCCACAGGCTGCGAGACAGCGCGCAGCGCTCACCACATGGCAAAACGGACAGATATGGAGACCAGGCGAGGCACGCGCAGACCCACAAAGACAGGGTCTCCGGCCCTTCTGACGGCGAAAGGCCCGGGGAGAGCACCCCGGATTCAGAATCGAAGTCAGCCTTCCGGCGCCAAAGCTGAAAAACGTCCCTCTTCTGGGAGGTCGACCTCCGCGGTAGCAGGCCTTCGCGTCTAGTTTGTGGCACTTTGGGGTTTTGTGTATTACAGTACGCTCAAAAAAAATGTGTGAGGCAGGGGAAACCCAGCATGATTTCAGGGAATGGATTCACACAGCTCAAACCCTGATTTAACAAGACAAGCCTGGGTTCAGACAGAACCTGCTTTGGCCAGATAAATAAGTCGAATTATGGCAGAAGGGGATGCTGAGATCCCCACAGTGCCTGCTGAGAAAATGGTTGGATTCCCACTGAACCACCATCAGTGATCTGACCCCATTTAAGTCTAGTTCAGTGTTGTATGAATTCAGCCAGCGAGAATCAGGACTGAGTGGGATTTTAGATGGGCCTCCTCACTCCTTCTCTAATGCTCTACCCCAGCTTTTCGGCTACATTTAACTTTCTTCATCTCCGGCTAGGACAACTGGCGACCAGGATTGTTGTGATGAAGGAAGTTAAGGGTCCCCAGCTGGGGAAAGGTGCTCTAACATTCTGCTCGGTGCGTTTTAATGTCGGTGGAAAAGACAGCTCTGCCAGACTTCTGTTCAGCTCTTCCATGTCAAATGAGCCGCCCACTTTTCCATTTTTTAAAAGAAGCAATTCAATCATAATGCAGCAAACAATTTTATGAACAGAAGAGTAAGCAGGGCAATAAAGAATTTGGATGATAAATGTTCCTGCATGATACAATCTCTGGAAAATAAAGAGGCACTTTCTTGAAAGCAGAAAGAGCATTGGCATCTCAACTGGGGAGAGAAGTCTACAAACGGGGTACCCAAATGCCCCCCAGCATTGAAGGCCCACTCCCCTATAAACATATCCTTGACACTCACTGGCAAGTAGCTGTGAAAACTGGTGCTCTTTCAGATGCCCAAATGTCATGTCAGGCTCAACTTCTGAAAGTAAGCCCAACATTCAAGTGGGGGTGAAGGAAGGGGTCAAAGGAGGCATGTTCCACCTCTTTTAACCCCTTTTTTTCAGCTGCACCAGTTGGGAGTCAGGCTGCTCTTCCCTTGTCTGAACTCCTACTTCTCTGACCCAATGACATTTTTCTTCATAGTGTGCCAAACCATGGCTTGTTGGCACATGGTTTGTTCAAAACACCCCCTTGGCTGGGTTCACACATCATGATAAATGACTAATGGTGCTTAAGAAGCACAATGGCTGGATTCATACACGTCCAAAGTCGAAACCCAACACACCACAATATGCTGTAATGGGATGTGTGAATCCAGGGTTTCTGTGTGGCTTCAGGAAACTCTCAGGAGTGAACAATCCAGTGACTGTTGTGGAGAGACATCTGGGTTTCCCAGCAGGGCCTGTTCTGGCATCTATCTCGGTCTGCTTTGCAAAACATATTTCTTCCCTGAGGGGGCCTCAAGCCCTTGTTCAGTGGGGTGTACTGTATTTTCTACAGTGACTTTGTCTTGGGGACCCTGCCTTCCTTCTCATGGTGAACGGTGCTCCCAAAGGCCACCTGCTTCATAGTAAATGGATGGGAGTTATCCCTGTTATGGCCAGGGGCTCACATGGTCTGTGACTTGTGGCCTGGAATGATGCCTCTCAGGCATGCTGGACGCAGTTTGTTCATGTTTATGCATCATAATGTTTCCAGGTATTCTTTCCCCATCCATTATGGGCTGGGCAAGAGTTGAAAGCCAATTTTCAGGCTTTGAACAAAGTTGATATAGAATTGTTCTGCCCGTCTCATCTGCAGGATTTACGTTTTGTTGTTCTATGTTGTTTGACCACTTTTGGTACATTTCGCTGGGTCCTTATTATAAAGTTGCTAAATTGTGCTCCTACAGTTGCAGGTCATATTATTGTTTTACTGTAGGAGTTTCTATTCCACTGTGTTCTGCTCATGT